TGTCACCTTCGTAGTTTTGACTACGGCTGTACTATTTAGAATATTAACCTTGTTATTAAGTGGGCTAGCTACTGTGACTAATTTTGCCATCTGTTAATACTTATACATAAGCATCCTACCTTAAATAACAGTTAGATACCAGTAGACAGTCAACGGGTATTCAGATCAGGTAATGTACAGAGACACAAGAACTTAGTATGGGACTGCTTATAAAGGTGTAGCTTGTACAGGACCGCAGTACCAATGTGATCCAGAAGACTAGAAGGGAAGGATGGCAGCCCTCATCTCAACACTTATGCCCTTAAGGGTGGACATGCTACTGTCAGAGATCACCTGAGAGAATGAATACCCCAACCTCAGACTCTGTCGTGTCCTTATTGCACTCTTTGTTGGCCAAACAGAAACGGGAGAACTAGATACCTACTGGAGTGTCCCAAAGAGGCTGGCCTTGAAGAGCACAGGCAGACAAAGCAACCTAGTAGCTCTCGAGGGGAAAGTGAAGATGTACATCCACAGCTTCATCTGCAGCCTCACGTTAGCTGACACCTAGCTCTCAGCAACATACCTTTGTTCAGGTAGTCACCCGATTCAGAAATCATCGCATGCGCCATCTGCCTGGTCACACTTCACGATACCAGGTGCAAAGATACGAGGTGTTCAACTGGAGCAAGATAGTTCTGTGTTAGGGGTTTCTCTGGCCATGTGAGCTATCTAGGTGATTTCAGGAAGGAGAAATGCATTTACATGTCCATCTTTAGGCTTCCAATTATTACTAAATTTAACTTCCAACTGCATCAAAGCTGCTTTAATAAACCCCAGTCTTCTTCATTCTTGTCTTCTATGTTAGTATTGTAAGCAGATGCATTGTATTTAAAGGAGCTGGCCATCCAAGGTTCTTGAGATGCTTTGAACTCCTTGTGGGATATCTCACAGTTGATCTAACTCAGGAAGCGAGGAAGATTTGTAAGGTAGGAAATCCATGTGTGTTCTTACTCCCTCATCCTTTGTGCAATTTGAGACACATTAGGATCTGGGGAGATAGCCCAGGTGGAATACTGACAAGAACATCAGCTTGATCTCCAGAACCTTTATTTTAAAAAGAGCCCTGTGTGGTGTTGTGAGCGCCTGCAATCCCAGCACTTGCCTAAGTAAGTTCCAGGTGAGTGAGAGATCCTGTCTTTAAGGGAAAAAAAGAGATAGAAGCTCAAGGTTGTCCTCTCGCTTCTAAGTGCTTGCACACATATATACTCATGCACACTTGCACACAGATGAACACAGGAGTGTGAGCACACACACAAAAACTATTAATCTCAACATACACATATATCGAGCTGGGTGGTGGTGGCACACGCCTTTAATCCCAGCACTCGGGAGGCAGAGGCAGGCAGATCTCTGTGAGTTCAAGGCCGGGCTGGACCGATAGCCTCCAAAACAATACAGAGAAACCCTGTCTCGTAAAAAACAAAAAAAAAAAAACAAAAAAAAAAACAGGATACACATATATCCACATGTTGTAGCCAAGGCATAATCCTGCTTAGCAACCACAATTTTTTATTGCTATGGACATTAACCTATCTCAGGGTTATATGCTGCCTTCACCATGAGTGACAGACATCATTTGAATAGAGTTGGATAGAGTATTTTGTGTGGGTGTTGATACCTGAGACAAACATCATTCTCAAGAAATGGGGCTTGACTGCCAACTCCAGTGGGGAAAGGTAAGCAACAGGCATTAGATGCTTCGGAGGTAGTTGTGTAAATATGGAGTCTACCAAGGTTAACTGAATGGACCCAGCTACTAGTGTTGGGCATGCACAAGAAGGTAAATTAAGCTTGAAAGGATAAAAGTTTAGTCTTCCCCTTTCCCAAAGGCACCTGGGAACAGGCATAACAACTTAAATATGCACATATATAAAATCTCCTATATAATAGAATCAAAATTCCTTTTTACATTTCAACACCTTATTCTACCTTTAAGTTTTTCCATGCATCTCACGACTATCACCACCTTTGACAACACACACACAAACCGAAAGAGAGACAGACAGACAGACAGAAACACACACACACACACACACACACACACACACACACACACACACAGTGTTACAACCTGACTTTGGTTCTTTAATACATTCTGTTTTGTCTTCAGCCACACCTTTCTTCTAAAGCTACTTTTGAATATCTCAAAAAAGGGACAGTCAATTGGCAGTGCTTTGTAGCAAGTTAAGGCGAGATGAGTGTAAACATACAACCCTCCCTTCTCTCAATATGTATCTTGGCCAACAATATCAAATATCTGGATTTGGCCTCTGAATCCTGAAATTCTGTATTCCAAACATTCTACAGCAGCAGGATGCCTTCTTTTTGTTTATTTTCTCCAGGCTGTGGAACATTCCTGAACTAGGAACCGGAAGTGGTCTTTGTTTTTCCACTGACAGCCTGTAGGCTCTCTTGATCCTGTCACATCTTCATGCTGTAGGTGCCCCCAAGGATGAAACTTCCCTGCCTGTATCTCCCTGATCCACAGCCCTTTTATAGCTAGAGGGAGGAGTTTCCTTGAATCAGTTCTTCCTCCCTTTGCTCTGCCTCTTGAGGTACCTGGACCACTACCAAAGTCCCAGTTGGATGGTAGTGTCTTTCTCCTAGGCCTGAGCTCTTGCATGCTAGTGAGTTCATGAAATGCAGATTTCTTAAGAACCACAGTACTTAATGGGACAAGAAGGTGACATAGCAGCCTCCATTATTTTCACTATGTGCTCCTTCCAAGTTTTGAGCCTATTCCTATTTTGCATTCATCGTCGGGTATTATATTATTAAAGCTATCTATCTTTGAAGGCCAGAAACGTTTGAATCCCCTTTGCCACATACAGTGTTTGGCATGTGTCCAGTAAAGGCCAATAGGGTCAAATGTAGGAGAATGTTACATCACCAGTATTGTTTAATAAAAAATGCTCTGGTGTACTCAAACTATGTGCTTTTAATAGTATTTCCACAAAGAACTTTCCCTATCGAGATCTGGTATGTGCAGATGTACAAAAATTCCATTTTTGTAGAATCAATGTATCTGCTAGTCAAATACAATTTAACTCAGTGCAGACTAAAATTTCTTTGTAATACCTCCGTGAATAGAAAAGCTTTTCTTGATACCAGGTATAGAACTCACAGAAAATAGTGGCTCTGTCAGTTCTGTACCTGGTATCAAGAACTGTTGACCATTCAGGTTATCGTGTTTTTAACAATGACCCCACACAGCCAAGATGCCTCACAGGGACAGCACCTAGGGAGGCCTGCTGTATTGCTCTCAGTGGAAACTTGTCACATGGTCATTAGAACTGGGTTGGAACACAGGTCAGTGCCCTGTGCTGTGTTGGTGTCTATTATCTGTAAAGGAAATAGGTACAGTGACTTTGCAATGTATTAAGCATCTGTTTTGTATTTCCCACATCTACTGGAGGCCTCTCAACCAGATGTTCTGCAGAAGCGACACTTGCTTTTCCTGTTCTACTTAATTCATGCCTGTAAAAGTCTCAGCGATGACTAGTCTTATTTTTAGGAAAGTTTCTTATATTTGGGCCAGCTACTGTTCTCAGCAGGTTGATGAAAGGAGTCCACCATTTTTTTTCCGGAAGAGACTGACTCTGATCTGGTACTCTTTTTGGTTAGGGCACAGTAGGTTTGGCCATCATTGTTTTGTATCCAGAGTCAGTGAGGGGTGGATCCATCACAGTCGGGGCCGGGATGTGATACTCTGCTTGAAGATAGATGTGGCAGCTCTAACACAGCCCCCCTTTCAGTTTCATCTGTCATAATATCGGAACGGAATTGCTGTGCCTATGGTGAGGAATTGAGTGGAGTATAATGGATGTTGATATTAGGTGATTAGATGCCCCTCTTTTCTATCTGCTACATTAAAGAGTATTTCCTGCCCCTTTGTACAATGAGAGAAATCCAAACATGCTATTAAACCCATGTCCGAGTTTGCTTCCTGTGATAAACCACTCTGACCAAAATCAATTTGAGGAGAAAAGGGTATTCCATCTTACAGTTTCCAGTCCATCGCTGAGGGAAGTCAAGGCAGAAACACATGGGTGGAAGTCTACCCTACCCATACTTTTTGAAAAGTAGCCATGTACTCTAGTTTCAGATACCATGGCATTCACATAATTACAGAATTTTAAATCCAGGGCACATGGGGAATTCTAGAAACTGCTTTGTGTATTTGTCAGAACTCTGGTTTCTAGGGGGACAGTGTTTCTGGGTCAAATGAATTAGAGACAAATGAGTTAGAGAAACCTGGCGTTTTATAACTTCCTTCCCTTGGATCTTCACAGGGAAAAGTTACCTGTCAATCAGCTGATCCCAAGGTTATTTAACTAGAGATTCCATTCTCTACTCCTATGTTCATTCTGCACACAAAAAACGAACCTTGTGTCTTTGGGGAGGTCTAGAAAGCTAAACAGTTACTGGAAGCATGAGAACTAGGGACCTACTGGTGATTACCAGCCTCCCCAGAAAGGCTGGATCTTTACACTCATAGCAAGGGTGTCAAAAAATTGCAAGATGATATTGTTCCCTCCCCCAAAATTTATTTAAAGAGTTGCCTCCAACGTATCCAGGATCCTAGTTTAGAGAGATTTATCCTTGAGCAGATGGGGAACTGTGCCAACTGGCCCATCCAATTGAGTATTACTCTATCCATAGACCTCAGAAAATGCAAACTGGGCAGCATAAAGAACAAAGTGCCCGCAAAGCTCTCAGTCTGGGGGCTTGGGAGGGAGAACGCAATAGGCAATTAAACAAGTAAATATGTAATTACAAATTACAACACGTGCGTGAAGAAAAGGGTGCTGTCGGGTGAAGCATAAATTTGCAATCGTGTCTTAATTGACCCAGATTCAGAAGGGATCAATAGCGGGTGTTTTTACGTCTGTCCTGATGCTCAGAGCTCATAGTTACATTTCCAACCACACAGCAGTCTCTCTCCTTGTTTCTTTCAGCCCCCGTGGAGCAAAATGAGAGCACAGTGAACCAGCTCAGCCTCTCCCCAGCCATCCCCCGACGCCCACCATGAACCACTTGGAGGGCTCCGCGGAGATGGAGGTGCCGGACGAGGCTCCAGGAGGGGAGGTGAACGAGTCCGTGGAGGCCGACCTAGAGCACCCCGACGTGGAGGAGGAGCAGCAGGCGCCCCCGCAGGCCGCAGGCCGCCACGGTGCGCTCGATGACCCCCGTGCTCAGCTGGCTCGGCAGCAGCAGCAGGAGGAGGAGGAGCGCGGGGAGAGCCTGGCGCGCTCGGCCAGCACCGAGAGCGGCTTCCACAACCACACGGACACGGCCGAGGGCGACGTGCTCGCCGCGGCCCGCGACGGCGGCGCCTACGAGGCGGAGCGCGCGCACGACCCCGAGGATGAGAGCGCCTACGCGGTGCAGTACCGGCCGGAGGCCGAGGAGTACACGGAGCAGGCGGAGGCCGAGCACGCCGAGGCGGCGCACCGGCGCGCGCTGCCCAACCACCTGCACTTCCACTCGCTGGAGCACGAGGAGGCCATGAATGCGGCCTACTCGGGCTACGTCTACACGCACCGGCTCTTCCACCGCGGCGAGGACGAAGCCTACGCCGAGCCCTACGCTGACTACGGCGGCCTCCAGGAGCACGTGTACGAGGAGATCGGGGACGCGCCCGAGCTGGAGGCGCGCGACGGCCTGCGGCTCTACGAGCAGGAGCACGATGAGGCGGCCGCCTACCGCCAAGAGGCCCTGGGCGCGCGCCTGCACCACTACGACGAGCGCTCGGACGGCGAGTCCGACAGCCCCGAGAAAGAGGCCGAGTTCGCGCCCTACCCGCGCATGGACAGTTACGAGCAGGAAGAGGACATCGACCAGATCGTGGCCGAAGTCAAGCAGAGCATGAGTTCGCAGAGCCTCGACAAGGCGGCCGAAGACATGCCCGAGGCGGAGCAGGACCTGGAGCGTGCCCCGACCCCAGGAGGAGGACACCCCGACAGCCCCGGGCTGCCAGCACCTGTCGGGCAGCAGAGGGTCATGGGACCCCCGGGTGGCGGTGAGGCTGGGCAGCGGTACAGTAAGGAGAAGAGAGATGCCATCTCGCTGGCCATCAAGGACATCAAGGAGGCCATCGAAGAGGTGAAAACCCGGACCATCCGTTCGCCTTACACCCCCGACGAACCCAAAGAGCCCATCTGGGTCATGCGTCAGGACATTAGCCCCACGAGGGATTGTGACGACCAGAGGCCCATGGACGGAGATGTAAGTATGTACAGGTTCAGGCTTGCTGGACTCCAGGCCCTGGGGAGGGAAAACTAAGTTCTGTGGCCTTGCAAGTCTGAGAAATGACTTTGTGGTTAAGTGGTCTGTAGGGGCTCTATGCACCTCCCCGTGGTAGCTGCACCCGGTGTGGCACCAGCAGAAGAGTGTTAAGAGTGAACCCTACTTAGCAGATCTATAAGGCATCCTATGCCTTCCAGATGGTACCTGGGGGACTTGTTGAGAGTTACATTCTTGAATCAGTGCCCACCCCCACACACCCCTCTTGGTGCTCATTGAGAAAGTCTGAACTTTCTCAATGCAGTCCCAGAATGTGTATCAAGTCTGCATTGAGTAAGATGAGACTTGGTTGGAGAGGATGTTTGCAAAAAGACAAAAAAAAAAAAAAAAAAAAAACCGCAAGGGTTCCTGAGAGGAAGGACTCACCCATGTGAACAAGAACAAGGCACGTGTGGAAATGCGATGAACAGTGGCCTAGCACGGATGGGATGGGAATAAAGTTCTAACCAGAGACCAGCCTGTTCTCAGGTGTGAATGGGCACCCGGGGATCACACACGCACACACACAGACACACACACACACACACACACACACACAGACACTCACACAGGCACACACACAAACACACACACAGACACACACATGCACGCACGCACGCCGACCAGTCAGCAGTTCAACTAACCACACTTAAAAGGCAAAGGATGACAATACATACAGTCTATATCAAGCCCTGTCTTGAATGCACAGGGCATCAGAGTCAAGACAAGTGAAGGGGTTTGTTGCCTAGGCCAAAGCATTAATCAAAAGCGTTAATCAAAATCCTCAACATTTTTATTTAAGATGGCAGGGTTGTTCAGTGTTATCCCAACTAACAAGATCCAGGCTTATGCTGTTGAGCCTGGGCCACGTTAAAGAACCATTGCCGTGAAGCCATATCTTAAAGCTATGGGTGGCCACTGTGGCCTCTCCTGGAAATCCCCCTATCCCACCATGTGTTCTGCAGTACCCCCACCCTCCCAACACACACCCACATACACCGTGACTGCCTGTAGCACCCAGTAAGCTTTTGACACTCCTCAGAAGGTATGTTTTCTATTTAAAACCAGATGTGCTTCACTGCCAGGAGCTACAGGCAGAGCTGTGGCTGCCTCTGCCAACAGCTTTTTTGCCGTTTTTTAAATTGGAGACCGTGTCAAGCTCAGGTGGCACAGCCTGTTGAAAATAAACCAAGAAGACTGACCTTTGCCCCTCTGCCTTGCTATAAGGATGCTTTTTGCTCTAACTCTCCCTTTTCTGGACTCTCCGGCAATTTCTAAGCAATTTCATTTTAAAATGGAGCTTAACATCGGCTAAGGGTCAAAAGGTTAAATCCAGTTTCATTTTAATTGATCCAAGTGCTGGCCTCCTCCATCAGCATTCTTAGCTGTGTCAGCCCCTTGAAATGACCTACTAACCACTTGACCCTGCAGCTTCACTCTGGGCCCCCAGGACAGTGGAAGGGCCAGGACAGCTTTTGTTCATTTGAACTAGAACACTTTACACCTCTTGTGTAATGTTTTACTCAAAAAATAATAATTTGTTATAAAATGTTGACTGATACTTAGGAGTCCCCGAGCCATCAGAATTTATCTTGATGCTAAGGAATCGGTGAGTAGGGCTTACTGGGTTATGAAGGGCTAACAAAAAGCAAAGCCAGAAGCCTATGCCACAAAATAGGCCCCCATCTTCCTCAAGCTGCCTGGATCTGTGGCTCCTATTTCATCTGCTTATGCTATATGTATAGGAAAGACCTTCACTTGCTCCCCCTTTGATGGTATTAGTCCACCTCTCCTCAACTTCAAAAAAAGTATTTACTGAATCTCATTCCACGCATGCTATCGTAGAAAATGGAAAGGGACCCTTAAAACTACTGCAGTCTGCAGTCTGCAAAGGTCTTGTTAAAAATGCAGATCACTACCCTTCTTCCCAAAGCCCAATGCCTGAGGCAGAGCCTGCTGATCTGGTGTTTTGTTTTTGTTTCATAATTCTCCCTGAGATCTCAACTGTATAAAAGATTGAGAACCACTGATTCAAAGAGAGGACCAATTTAGGAACTGTGGGCTTGAGACTTTCTTCAGTGAAAGACTGTACCACTGTGGTTATGGTCTGCAGAAACAGAGGGACCTGAAAGTTTTATTCCAAAGATGCAGTGTGTTTTTAAAATATGATGAAATCAGAAAGCTCCAAGGAACCGGTGGAGGGTGAGAACAGCCATATTACCAATTGGCAGAGGTAATTGCTAACAGTGCTTTTGACAGATCTGCTCAGCCCCCTGTAGCCCCAACATTGTATATATATGTAGAGCGAGCAGGCATGTGTTTTCTGGTGCAGTAGACAGAATGAGAATTGAGGATTGATTATCCACCAGAACCCGTTCTCCTTACTGAAATGATAGATGCTCGGCACTACGTGAAAACAGTTATTTTCTGAAGACCTGAAAAAAGACTTGTGCTTTTGGTCTAGTAAGGACTTTCCTCTAGGTAGGTTTGAGAACTTCCTTCCAACCCCCTCCTTGAAATCATACCATTAGTGAATGATGTGTTCTGAAAAGTTCCCTGTTCACTGACCTCTCTCCAGACAGCACAATCATTCAGGTACAACTGCTTTGACATCAGCCAGCACTGTACATGCTGGAGGATTTGAGCTACCCTGAATGGCAGTGTAGACTGATAGTTTCTCCTTTCTACTCTCTCCTATAACTTCATTAGAATGATAGACAATAAAAAAACAGAAACAAAATAGTAGAAGATGGGGATAATAAACTTGTTGAATTCTTTGCTAATTCTGGACATTTTCATGCCAGGCCATGTTTCTAGTTCCCTTTCAAGTTAGAGAGGCTTGCACTTCCTCATCCCTAGGAGGCTAAGCCAGTGACATATGCATTCGGAAGTATACTACTTTCGGGCAGGAAAGTGCAACAAACCAGAATCCAGAGGGTAAGAGTGGCGTGACCCTGAGCACAACAAGGATTCCCTGGTGACCCCAGTGAAACATGGAGGCAACCTGAGTTGAGGCCACAGGAACGGGGTGACGGGGTGGGGAGTTGGTTTGTTCACACTGCATGGCCTAATCAGTACTGAGTAATTCACAGGGGGAGTTTCTGCTTCTTCCTTTCTACCAAGATTTCTGAGGATTTGAACGTAGACACCTCAGAAAGGCTCAGGGACTTGAAACAGCCCATGCTTCAGATAACAGGGATATGAAGACACGGTTGAGAAAGAAAGGTTGGTCAACAGGCAGTCACAGGACACATTGGACCTCTGGGTATCTCTAGTGTGTGCAGCCAAGTGACTATTTCCTGCAGATGTATGGCCTCCATAGAAACAGAAGCATGGCATTGTCACTCTCAACAAAAACACAAATAAGAGGTGGGAGGGACTCCACCACAGGAAATATAGGAAGGGATCCCCTTCAGGTAGATGAAGAAGAGGCAATGGGATGGCTACTATGCAGAAAGCCAAGGCAGCAGCCAAGCCAGAGCTTCTAGGACTCCAATAGGAGGCACCAAGAGAAAAGATAGCAGAGAGAGAAGACAGCAGAGAGATCCTGAGGAGCAGAGAGAGAAGACAGCAGAGAGATCCTGATGGGCAGAGAGATCCCCAGGAGCAGAGAGATCCTGAGGAGCAGAGAGATCATGAGGAACAGAGAGATTCTGATGGGCAGAGAGAGAAGCCAGCAGAGAGATCCTGATGATCCAGCTTTGGGGAGTAGAGGTGGCTTGGAGATGGTTTAACATACAGTGTTGACCAGCACATAGAACACTATTCAAAAATCAATTCTAACAATTCCAATTTCCTTTGGTTATTGGCCTTTCTGAAAACAAGTTCACTAGCCAGAAATGCAGTACTGTATGCATGCAGCTGAGCTGGGAAGATCATAGGCATAGCCTACAGAATGCAAACACTGAACATCAATTAACCAGAAATGCGTAGTAGAAAGGACACAGACTTTATCCCTTACAGTTGAAGCCAGAAAATAATGTCTAAATCTGAAAATGAAAGTGAGGCCATACAAATATATTACCTTTGCACATAAAAGTAAAAGTAAAAGAAGGTTGCAAAGGAATTGAAACTGGAGCCATGAAGTGAGGAGCAGCATAAAAAGAATTTGATTATTTCCCTAAGCTGTACAGTATGATTTGACTTTGAAAACTATATTTGTAGATTTATACAAAGACAGTTCACTGAACAAAAAGATTATCTCATTGCCCTGTTTTCCTGAACAAAAATAGAGAAGGGCAAATGCTTCTTTGTGTTTTGTGTTCAATTTATAGGATGGAAAGGACTTCTTTGCTGGCTGTTGACCTATGGTAAGATGGGTGCACTGTTGTATGCAGTGTTTGCATTGAGCATGCACACTTCTATTTGGCTGTGACTACACACATGAGAATAAGGTGAATAGGAGGCGTGTGCTTCTCATAGAACACTACTGGATAGTGAAGAACCTGGAGTGTTTAAAAGCCATGGACTCAGTGTGTTTAAAGTTTGGAAGCCTCAGAGCACTGGTGGGGAAGAAAGCAGTAAGAACACTACCTGCAGTGGGAGTGATGCATGCTGGAGCCAAGTGCAGTGCATTGATTTCTCCAGAGCCGTGAATAATTATGTAAGTTGAGAGCCTTCCTTTAAGGATAAAGTGCTTCTGAGAGCTGCCTTTTACCAAGGTGAAAGCACCACAGTTGCAGCATTTACAAGCCCATGCTGCCCCTTCAGATGCATAGTGAGGTCTCATATCCCAGCAGGGAGTGGTGCTCTATGTAGCAAAACTCAGTTGTCAATAGCAACCACAAAGAGGAGCCATTTTTCTGTGAACCATGAGGACCCGATGTGACCCGGGTAATTTTCTTTAAGGATGTAATAGTCTTAACTGTTACATCTTCAAAATGAAAAGGCTTGACCTTAAACTCTCATTTGGAGAGCAAATGATTCATTTCATCCGTGAAAAG